TTTTTTTAAATAATTATTTTTAGAAGGTACTTTTAATTTTTCCCAGAACACTAGGAGTCCTTATCATCATAACAAGTTCTTATCATTTAAGCGAATAGTTGTTAAGTAATAAGTATATATTGTACGCGATACAAATTCAAATAGTAGATAAGACGGTTGGTGATTGGTGGATTCGCGACAAACAAAATAACAATCGKGCCACGAGAGCTTGAGGATACGAAGTTCTTAACGAAGCAAACGAACGTTGAAATCGAAATCCTAAGGATTTGAAGGGGAACGAAATGTCCGCGGGTTGGGAGCACGTTATCTCATCGGGCAGAACAAAAAAACGATAACTCATTTTAAGCGTCGTAATATCATAGCGCTGTAGCGTAAACAACTGYTCGAGACCATACGCGTAGCGTTGGCACATCAAATTATGCGTCGTAATAAAAAAAAAACTAATTGTTAGCGAGCAATACATAATGTAATACTGACGTGTTGTGATAGCCATACTGGTAGATGAAATGTTTCGGGTTGTTGTGGTTCTTGCTGCTGTTGTTGTTGTTGTAGAGCAACACTCCGTTTTTGTTCGGGCTGCCGTTTTTGTTCCTGTACGGTTCCGTTTCGAACCGCAGCACTTCCACTTTGTCGGAATACATTGCGTGACGCACTGTCGAACTTGACGTGTAAAGCAAAATAAGCGGAATGCCGTCGGCGGACGACCAGTGAGCGTTTGGGGGGGGGGTAAGACCTGCGTCCCGGAGTGGACAGACTAACCAGCAAATCGGGAAGAAGACGGTGGTCAAAAAAACATCCGACGAAAAGTTTTTTTTCAAAAAATATCAAAACAGCGGCAGCGAACGTGTTAAAATATCGCGCGCGTGGACGACGGTGAATGAGATCGGCGCGGGACTGGTTCGGCTTTGTGCTTCACTCTGGCCGTCCACCACTGCCGCCGCTGCCGATCGCTCATAGGAAGGGGCAAGTCCCTCGTGGATCGTCGTCGTCGACGTTTGCCCGCAGGCGTATTGTAGGTAGGTAGGACAGGTAGGTACCTCCATAGTCCACACGATGGTACAGTGGTACGCAATACTATAATATAATTATAACAAGAGCGTGTATTTTGTTACGGACTATTGGTCGGTTTCATTTTCCTCGAAAAAACGAAATATCGATTTCATCCACTGTCCATTTTCCTTCAGATTATTTTCGACTAGAATTATGTCCATTTTCCTCCGATATTTTAGCCAGTGTTGGTCATATGCGCCGATTGACGATACCAATGATTTTTCCTCGGCAACCGGTTCAGTTYCTTTTCTCCAAATTAGTTCGCTGTTCGTTAATAAGGGTCGAAAACTTGGAATCTTACACTTGGAATGTATAAGATTTTATATTAAAATATTTTTTTCGTTCACATGTTTCATCAACTTGCAAAATTTTCTTTGAAAACCCGGCTGGCTTCCTTGGCTTCTTATAATACATCATATTATATTCATATTAGAGTTTATGACTTATAAATATTAGTGTACATGCAAAATTGCAAAGATAAACCAGCAATTCTCAAGATAATAGATTGTACAAGG